TCTCTCTCTCTCTCTCTCTCTCTGCCTCTCTGAATGATTAGTTCTAATGAGTCTCACACCGAGTAAAAGGACATAAATGGCAATTCATTGAACATTTATACCCTATTGTGAGCTGGGAGAGAGAGAGCGCTCAAATTTCATCGACTTTTTGGAAATTTTGAGATTCACTTAAAACCAAGACTTGATTTTAGAAAATAATAGGTTTTAATGCACTCCTATTACTGTCTCATGCAATCAATACTAGAGTACTGTATGTTGTCGTCCAACTTATTGTAATATTCATATCATGTACTTTTATTCTGTACACTACTCTCTATATTTAACTATTGGTTAAATATATTACTTTTAGATAAACCATCGAGTTAACAAAAACTACAATTAATTAAATATATTAATTGCAAGTTAATTACATATGTAATTGAATTTTATAAAAGTCATGCTTTAATTTAATTTAATGCTAATTAAAGCTATTCCAAGGATACAAACCATCGAGTTCTTAGACTAATGAGAAGTTAATGGCTATTATTTGATTGATTTATCGTCAATTGATTTCCAATAACAACAATTCTAGACATCAAATACATTGTACTTAAAATGTTATTTCTAATAATTAATCAATTAATTAGAAAGAGTGTGCCATTGAGTTAATTATTGATTGGTAATTATATGGAGAGTCCTAAAGGCATCCCCAAAGCAATTACAAGATGCCATCAAATGAATTTCAATAATACATTGAACGCAAACCAATCAATTAATACTTAATGTACTCTCAATTATTCTGCAATTATCCGCACAATTGATGTTTCATTTGCAATGTGTTGTAAATTATATGCTTTTCTTTTAATCAATGCATTCCTCGTGAGTATCATTAAATGCTATATTAATTGTGAATACAGTATATTTAAATAACGCTTGATATCACTCTTCATTTTTATCAATTGTGTATTTGTTTAAAACATTTGTAGTTTTGCTAATGAATTACATTTTCATGACAAATGAATAAAGTATTTGATTTAAAACTGATTTAAAACTAAATAAATGGTTAGATTTAGAATTATGGCAAACTTTGAATAATATTAGCATTTATTTATTTATTTGAGTTACAAATAAGTTACAAAAATATATACCAATAAATTAATTATTATTGTCTAATGTATAAAACATGTAAATCTATAAATGTTTTAATGTGTAATAAAATAGTGTATTTCAAATATTTAATGATTGTCTCACAATTGCGGTCAATAATAGTGATAATGAGTGCATCTTTAAACTCCAGTATCTGACCAACAAATATGTCGATTAATAGTAATATTCATTATAATTGTAATAAATAGCCGTAAAAACAATAAGCGTTTAAGACTATGGATTTCATACGATTCCACATCAAAGCACTTATAAGGCATTACTTTTCCTGATTTTTCAAACATATTGAAAAACATATAATTAATATCACTTTAAAATTACAATAAATTTATAAAAATTTTAAATGAAATAATTTCTAAAATAAAATTATATTAAAACAAATTTTGAAAGCTTTAAAATTAACCAAAAAGGATAAAATACCGGAGATTTAAGGATAGTTATACAAATGTCTCTATTATACTGCTTAATAACAATAGGGGTCTGAGAATAATGTTCATTTAAACCATGTTTTAGAGACAATTGTGTAAATGATATGAAATATTTAATCAATACTTATATGGAAATAATATTTACTATATTTATAACTAACAGAAAATGAATAAACAATAAATATTAGGCCAACAATAGCTGGGAATCGATTACTTTTCCACATTTGCAATCAATTCGTCGACCATTTTTGTCAACTCGTCGTTCTCTCTAGTCTTCTGATCGAGTTGTAGCTGAAGTCCATTGATCTTCATTTCAGACCTCTTGAGTTGAGCCTTAACTGCAATCAATTCCGACTCACACTCTCTTCGGGCGCTTTCTATGTAATTGTTGGCACTGAAAGTGATGGCATATTGTATGAAATGTGACATTAAGGACAATCAGATTGCACTTACTGTTCAATCTTCTCCTCCGCTTTGCTCTTCAGGAGTTCATACATGTGTTCCTTCTCATGGAGTTTATCCATGAGTTCCATATATTGTTCATTGAATTGTATTTCCTTCAGTTTGGAGTCTTCGAGAGCAGTCCTAACCTTATCGTAACGATTGTGCACTTCATAGAAGTTCTTCTCCACATTATTCACTTCTTCGAGGGCTTGAGTCCTCTCAGCACTCATTTCATTACATTTGTTGATCAGTTCCTTCTTGTCTTCCGTTAGATCATCGATCACTTGAGACGCCATTTCCACCACTTCTTCGTTGCAATTGTGCAGCAAATGAAGCAAAACCTCGTATTTCTCGCAATTATTGTTAACTATATTTAGATTCTCTTCCAATCCATGCAATTGTCTGTCTTTTTCAATCAGTTTCTCCTGAAATAACAATTCTTTGATTCGCAACTCATTCACCAATAGATCATTATTTTGGCCATTATTGGTGTCATTTCGTTCAGTTATGGGATCAGCTCTTGAGTTATTGTTCGGCACATTCACTGGACTATTGAAATTCATGAGAGTTGTGCTCTCGTTGTGGACTCGGGTCGACATCTCGTGACCGCCGACGCCATCGATTGTCTCGTTGTGTAAACGGCTTTCGTTGGCATTCAAAGAGATGTTGTGTTCAAATGTCCTGTCATTCAAATTCAAATGATTGGTCTTTTTGACCAAATCAGACAAATCCATGCCATCGACCAATGGATCAAATCGTCTTAAGACCGAAGCGCGAGAATTCAACGACTGGTTTGTGTCGGCGATTGTGCGCCTCTCGAGCGCATCCAACTCCTGGACAAACCTTTCAGGCATTTTGAACTCATCGTCGCTGAAGACATAATTGAATCCATTAGTGGTGGAAGTGTTGGTCGACTCCACACCACTTCCATTGCGGTCGTTGTTCTTGTCGTTCAAAGCGTTCACATCTGAAACACATCGAGTGTCACAAGCATTGCATCCATTCATGTGATACTCACCGAAACTGGTGTTCATTTTGGTCGCCAAATGCAAGAACTCATCAAAAAATATGTAAACAATTAATTAATTATTTGTTCTTTAAATATAACTCAAAAGCGGTTTTCAAATGAAATAATGGCTGAAAATAAACGAATCAATGATTGCTTCAAATCATAACAACATTTCGTATACAAAACGTCTGATAATTGTTACAAAACACAACATTCTGTCAATGCTTTCAAACCAATAGTTATGTAATAAATGTTGACATTATTGATGTCGAGTCAACAGCCCTTTAGTTCACGTCAATGTCTGGTTTGTGCAGTCGATACAGTCTATAACTGATATCAATTGTAATTATTACATACATTTAATACTACAAAAGTAATTGTAATATTTTAATTCATTTCCCATACTATGCAACCTCTCTATAAGAAACGAACAGTTGCACTCAAAAGTTGCATTAACGTTGTAGGTGTACTGTACAGTAGGAAACCCGTATACATTGTATCTCCAAATAGTTGCTTATAGAGAGGTATTTTATTGAGAGGAATATTCTATGAAAAGATTTAATAATTATTTTGTCTCAAGTAATCATATAGATAATAATGAATGATTACAATGCTCAATGCTAAAATTACTGTAAATACTATTATTGGTATACTGTAATAACATAACGGTAAACAACTTAATAACTATAGATTTAATTCAATTTGGGAAATCGGAAAGAATCAAGCTAGAAATAAACTCAATTCATAAGCATATCATATCATAAGTTATCATTATTAATTGGCATAAAATTGTTATACCAATTATACCTATAATTGAAAGTTTTAATTTGAAACTTATTTATTTTAAATCATTGTGAATTACCAATTCCTACAAACTTTACTCAAATAAGTTACTAAGTTACAAATACTTATATAAGTTCCAACGATTAATTATTCTACATTTACTACCGGTATTGTATCGGTATGTAGAATCGATAGCTAGGAATTGGTAACTAATGCTGTACATTACCAATCATATACGGTAACAGCATTTATAAGCCGTTACCGCTTTAATATAACCACAAATTATGTTCAATCAATGTCTCAACTATTGATCAAATTGTGTGCAATGTATTGTCCTATACAGTGGCTTGTTTCATAAAGAAACTTAAGTCCAATTTTCTAACTTACGCATGATTTTGCGTTTCACAAAGAAGTGTAAGTTAAGTTTAAGTTTTATTTAAGTCTAGTAGCAAAGAGTTAAGTTGCCCTCAGGTTATATTCGCGTTTCATTAAACTCCGTAAGTCCTAATTTGCGCGCTTAATGTACGCCAACCCGTGCCTTCACTCTACCCTCACTTTGCATATGTTTTGTATGCATAGAGAGGAGAACGTGTGTGTGGACTGTGTGTATGGAAGTGAGTGTCCGCTTCACTCTCTGTGATGTCCAGTGCGTAAAAACTGGTTTTGGACACTGAGTTTAAGTTAAGTCCAAGTTTTTTTGAGAAACGCAATGTAACTTAATTTAAGTTCAAACTTAAACTTAACTTAAGTCGAACTTAAGTTAGGCGAGGTACCTGAAACGCGCTGCTGTATTCTACTGTAGTATAGAATATTCACAATGAATACATTTAGCGCACAAACAAATAGGGTACTTGTATAGTGTGTTCGTATTATAGATTTATAGAGTAAATCATTGATTATGTTGTGTTACTATGAAATTCCTCACACAATACTCGTAACCACGATATCATAGTGTCGTACAAATGTAACGAATGGTTCATTTGTCCAAATCTGGTTAACAATATTGTTAATCAATATTTGACGCAAATTCTTACCTTATGTTGAAATATACAAAAATGTGGTCAAATAAACGATTATAGGCTTAAAGATTTGGTCCAATTTGCGAACCATTCATCAAAAAACATTGAGAATACAATTCAAATTTGAATATAATTTTGTTTAAGTTATACACAAATTGTGATTACAATAAAAATTATTTACATAAAGC